TCCTGCAAGACGTTCGTGACACTTTTGCTGACTCGGGTGTCTGCGATAGCTGTCCAAGTACCCCGCCTTGAACAACATCGAGAAGTCGACCAACGTTCCCAAGGCCTACGCCGTCATCGGCGTTGCTTCCCTCTACTTCTTCCTCATTATCTTCAACTTGGGTGGTCAGCTCTTGACCAACTTCGCCGGCTTCGTCATTCCCGGCTACTACTCCCTGAACGCTCTGTTCACCGCCAGCAAGCAGGACGACACTCAGTGGTTGACAGTATGTTGCAACTCTTCCCCGCAATCATTGACACCCGAACCTTGCTAACATCGATTCTAGTACTGGGTCGTCTTTGCCTTCTTCACGTCAGTTCCTCTCCGGCCCATCACATATACTCGAAACTAACTCGTATACCATAGCGTTGCTGAGAGCCTTGTGAACGTTGTTTACTGGTTCCCCTTCTACTTCACCTTCAAGTTTGTTTTCCTGCTGTGGCTCGCTCTGCCCACCTTCCGGTACGTTCCATCCTATCCGAACCGCGATAGATTCCGCTAACTGGCGATAGTGGTGCTGAGATCATCTTCAACTCTTTCCTCTCCCCCATGCTCGCCAAGCACTTCTCCGGTGCCTCCACCGCTTCCGGCCTCCGTGCTCAGGCTGGCAAGGCCGAGTAAGCGCGGCCCAATGCCAGCTCATCAAACAGGTCGATTGCCTTGAGAGATCCGCCTCGGAAGAGTTATACAGCTGGCCCGGCTTCATCCCAGTGGTAATCGCAAGCTAGTCAAATGGACGTTATGCAGCGACCTAGAGCACAAAGAGGACGGGATGGAGTGGCAAAGGCTAGCATTACCACACCATAAGACAACGGTGATGGCTCGTTTAGGTTTGGGCGGGGGCTCCAGGAACGCGAGAGCCACGACGAACGGTTAAACAAGTTCCTGTTACCCATTTAAAGTTACTGTAGGCTATGGAATACGGAGTCAATGACTTCTGTAATGGACTAGAGACAGTACATGATGCTAAGAAAATATCGTGCGACATACGTTGCCACCGTCTCCCATTGAGTTCGGTTCCTTGGTGAAAATGTGGAAACATGTCACAAGCGTTGTGCGGGATTAAGAGTGGTGGCTTCGAGACAAAGAGATAGTCGAGATGCCATACATGTTTCTTTTGTCATGGGCAACTAGAGCAGCAAGCCGTCGAGTGGGCATCCTGCATCAAAGCTGCTAGACCCTAACATAGACCGCATACCAACGCTGCTGCTCAGTGTCGTACAAGACCGCCTCGCATGGGTAAAGTCGAGTCCGAGATTGTGGAGGTCATAATAGGAACCATGATTCGAGCATTTCTCATACCAGTCGGCATGTCATTGCTGCTGCCCGCTGTCATCTTGTTGCCCCATTGACGCAAGAGTCCGGGTTGGAATTGCTGCACGTCACCGGAACAACTCGTCGGAGGCAGCCAGGTGACATATTTGGGGCAATCTACAGCGTTCCTGATCCCAGGTCCCTCGGCCTCTTTTCGCTTTTTTGTTGCAGAAAAGCGGTTCAATCAGCTGGCCAGGCCTCATTTTGAGCCCGCCAGCGCAAGATGTGGTGTAGCGTGAACTCTGACCAGCGAGTTCAATGCCTGAGTTCAATTGAGAGACGGCACGGGAGAGTGTGTAGCGGGCCGGTGCCAAGTTCGACGCCGCCTGATCCATGAGCCCAAATGCCAATCCGCTGTAAGCAACCTTAGCCTTAGCCCTTAGGGGGGGTTTTCAGGGACCTTTGGCGACGGTAGCCCCAGCGGGCTGGCCGAGGATCCCGAGACGTGGAAACTGGAAAGGGGTCCCCCACACTTTCCGGGTTGAACCCCCTGTTCCTACATCAACTCTGCGGGATCTCCAGCGTGTGTTGGCCGTTTAGAGCCGCCTTGGGAGGGCGTGTGCCTGTAGCCCGCCTCTCAACTGTTTGGGATGTGAAACTCGTAAAACGACAAAGGCTGTTTTCCCTCCCTTTCTGAATTCTCCAAGTCCAACTCCGCCATACCTCGACAACCTTCGTTTGCCCGTTTCTCGTCGACGGCCTTTCCCGACCATCTAACCTGTTTCGTAGCATCGTTTCCGCTCGACAGGCTGCACGCAGCACGACGACATTCGCTCCGCCGATATACGCGCTTTCATGGAATGAACTGGTGGATACAGCCAATTTGCGATCAAGCACAACGACATATCGACCCTCGCTGAGCGTAACCAACATTCCCGCCAACACCCGGATTCACCGACCCGCCGGCGGGAGCTTACCATAGCGAGCGGCGTCTCGGCAAGAAGAGATCCAAAGGCATCTGCCCCCGGAGGGCATGTCCACACAATGCAGCTCAGCCCTCTGCAATCGCGACTGGCGGCCTCGCTGATTGCGTCGCTGCTGCTCATTGTCCTCTATTATCTTCTGTCTACGCCCACCTTCGCCCTCGCTGCGGAACTTAGCGGCGCCACACAACCAATTCTTGACGACGCCCAATTTGACGACAGACTCGAGCAACGAAGCAGTCTCGAGCCAACATACGAGCCCGAATTCACTGCCTTCGACCGCAGTATCATTGGAAGAGCACCTGCCGGTGTCACGGGTCTAACGAACAATGTCAAAGTCAACCGCAATGTCCCGGGGAACTCGACCCAGAGTTTTGTCTTTGAGGCTATCACGATCTTCGCCAACTTCTTCGATGGGACGGACGAGGCGTTCATGGTAGAACCTCGCGAAGGCAGCAATGAATCCATCTCACCGGAGCTAGTCAGCATCGAAGGCATCAAGCCAGAAGACGAAGAGCGCGGCCTGCGCCGTAGGCAAGCTCAGGGAAGGACCGTGTACATCTCAGCGACCACGTGTATACAACCACAGCGTGCGGCGAACAACACGAAGGAGGATGCGCCACAAATCACGATGTACATCTCAACGTCTCAGGACAACCAGACACCTGGGCCAGGGCAGAACTCTACTCTACAGAAGGAGGTTGTTTTTGTTGAAGGCGCGGCAACCTTTAGCGTCAATGCGACAGGCGACGTCTTTATTGGAATAGGCGCACCCTCAAAGGATACCGACAAATTCACGGGAGACTGGAACTTTGATGTCGCGGCGTCGACGGACGATTTCTTCCACAGCTTTGACGGAAATCCCTCTGAGCTTCTCTGGGTCGACAGTGACTCCAGCGCTGCACTCCTGACGACGCAGAACTTGACGACCTCCCAGAATGAGACGTTGATTCAGGAGATCATGGGGTCAGGGCTCCCGTTCATTATGTTCGTCGAGAACCGAGAGCAGCCCACAACTAAAGGCGTTCGACGTTCAATGTGTGGGTTGGAGAACTACGCTCAAATCGCCGCGAAAAAAGGTGGCAAATTTGGCAACCTCGCCAGCACCCTTATGACGACCAGAGGCGCCGGGAACCTACCCAAGCAGCAGTTCTTCTTCAACGGGCTCAACGCGAGTGCTCTTTACTCGGGCATCCTAGTCCGCACGAGCAATGCATCTTCGTCGAGAAAACGTCAAGATGGCGCTCAAAGTGGCGGCGGAGGAAAGGTTTTCGAAGCGACGCCCTTCGAGACCAAGGATGGTATGTACACTGCCAGGGCAAGAGTGCTATCAGTGACTAATTCTATGTTTAGGAGAGAATTGCAAGATCGTCACCGACCTGCAGTTTTGCAATGAGACGGAATACGCTGTGCCCGCGAACTCTAACAAGATGAATATCACTCAGCTTGCGCAGTTCTACGACAACTATGCCAGGGATATGTACGCCAACTTCCAGAAACAGCTTGCCCAGGTCGCCTGCGAAGCGCCAGCAGTACAGCAGTACTCCCTTGCGCGAAACTGCTCCGACTGTGAGACTGCATACAAGAAGTGGCTCTGCTCGGTGACAATTCCGCGATGCGAGGATTTCACGAGTCCTACCAACTTCTCCTTAGTCAGGAACGTGAACCAGACATTCCCAAACGGAACTCTCCTACCAGTCGCCCAGCAAGAGTTGTACCCCAACAGAGTCAATCAACATTCGAGAAACCCCCTCATCGACGAGATGGTTGAGCCAGGCCCATACAGGGAGATTCTCCCCTGTGCCTACCTTTGCTATGACTTGGTACAAAGTTGCCCCGCGTCGCTGGGCTTCAACTGTCCCACTCCAGATGATGACATCTTCAACTCGAGCTATGCGGAACAGGGTGATGGTTTGACCTGCAACTACCCAGGCGCCGTGCACAATCCCTCTGGATCTTCATTGCTATCAGTTTCATGGGGTCTACTATCGGTTCTCATTCTTGGTACACTCAGTGCAGTCATACTCTAGGTGGATGAGCAGGGGTGACAACACTGACTCCGCAGAGGGTGTTCATTTTCAGTAGATTGACGGCCGACTTTTGTATAATGGGTAACGGGCACGACGGGACAGTGTAATGAGGGTTTTCTGGATGAATTGCATGGCATCGGCGTTAAGACACGACGTCTACTTTGAAGGTAAGGACAAAGACGTCCCTGCGTATGCTCATGGCTGTATTAGCCGTGCTGGGAGAAACTGTTAGAGGATTAGAATATCAGATAAATCTTGCAGACCTTTTTCGCTCTATCTACATTTGTCCGTGAATTTTGGAAATGACCATCTTGATGGCCTTGCAGGACGCTAGGAACCTGCTGATGGTAGAGCACAGTATTATACACTCCGCATATTGCTCAGACCCAACCCGAGCACGTACTGAATCCTTCATAACAACTAAGAGACACTGCCTCTTAAGTGTCGCTCACGCACTTCGCAGTCAGGCCTCGATGCCGCCTTGCTGGGAGATGTAGAGAATGGGTATTGCTCATCAGCAACGCCATCTCTCCCGCGACGAGGGTGGAAGCGATGCTCTGTTTCGCCCATTCCGGGCGTCCGTCTCCATTTCTCGTTTCCACCTCCGCCGTCTTCAGCCGATGAGACCGCAACTAATTCCGTGTGCCCGCCTCTGATTCGTCTTAAATCTCTTCCATTCGCACTCCTCATGCCTCTAGGCCTTCCTCTCCTTCCCTGCCTGCAGCTCTGCGACCCTCGCCTCGAGACCTTCAATCTCCTTACTCTTCTCGCCGCGGATTTCGTCCTGTTCAAGCTTCGTCCAGGTCCAGTAGGCGATTTGATATGTGAGGGTCGCCATCAGAAGAACTTTGAGGACAGGCCGGGTAAACGTTTTGTAAAATGTTCCCTGTTTGTTTGTGGTTTCTGTGTCAGCTTGTCGGGGTTCTGCTGGCAGAAAAAGGGTGCAACAGCTGTCGCAGAAGGAGCTCAATGGGTCTGCACTAACCACAATGGACGGTCTCTTCTCGCCATCTACTGATGTTGAGTAGAGCCGCAATGCTGCGCGGGGCATCTGTGCTGTGCGCTGGGTGCGGAGAGCTCTGTTCAGGATCATGGTGCTGCTGCGCGCGGCCATGACGGGCTGCGGTCTCGTCGGGTCGGTCGTCGCTTCGTTGCAGTTCATGCAGTTCTGTATCCCGGATCGTGTGATGGGGGAGACACTCGCAAACTCTTTTCGTTTTCTGGAGAGAGTGGTCGCAGGTTTCTCCGTAGGTATCGTGGTTCACCCTCGGTTGTAGCTTGTGAGGTCCGTCCGTTTCCTATGAGCTCCCCGTCTTCGGAAGACTCGAACAATTGCGCTGCGCCGCGCCGCGCCGATCTGTGGCGGTGCGCGTATCCCCCGCATAACCCGGCAGCGCGTCGACCGCCCTGAGGCATTGCGGATCCCGCCCTTGCCTGTGGCACAGGTGGCATTTGATAATGCGCCTTCTTCCAGGGTTCAAGGTACCTCATTCCAAGGTCCCCTTCTGATTGAGCGCCGCATGGGTTTCGGCACCCCTGGCCCCGAACAGGCAAAGGCCCCGTACGTTTTTTTGACGACACCATGTCCCGAACAATCAGAGAGTATTAGAGTGGAGGTGGTGGTGGCCGCCTAGAGGTCCTGAAGGGAGAAGAGCAATTCCCGTACGAGCCCGGTACGAGGGCCGGTACGAATGGTACATGAGCTGTGGAGGGCCCGCGCTTAGCGGGCAAGGTACCTAGGAAGCTAAGGCAGGTGAGTACGGAGTAGGTAATACGGCAAACCACCTTTACCACCTCCCCTCGTGGTAATTAGCTTCAACCGCTCTTAGCCCGAAAGCTCCCTCGCGCAATCTGTCCCTTCAACCAGCTTCCCTTCTCTTCTCTCGACACAGTTTCGACAACAATCCGCCTCGCACACACGACCAAACACCACGTCTACCACTACCTCTTCCAGCGCATTATATAACGAGTCAAACTTCGAAACGGAATAACCGAAAAAAGGAAGCAAACCACCAAGGAATCGGCATCGAGCAGACCACATCGCCGCAACCCCTTCACAACTTATCCACATACATACATACATACATACATCACCACAATGGTATGCAACCTCCAACCCAGCCCTCGCCGCACCGCCACATTGAGACCAATTGTTCTTTACGGCTTCGAGCTTGATATCTAGAGTACAATAGTGGCTCAATCACGACCTTACTGACACTTCTTGATCCATAGGCGCAAACACCCCAGCAGAGACGCGCAAACGCAAAGTTCGCCAAGGACAACGAGTCCCGCATGGGCAAGTCCGAGGATCAGATCAAGAAGCGCACCAAGGAGGCCCCCAAGTCGCCCATCTCCCCCATTTGGCTCAGTGAGTAGTCCCTATTCGCTTTCCGTTGCCTCCCTTTGCGATCAGCCGCAATTCCCTTCCCCACCAAAAGGTTGCTAGTGGTGTTTGGAAGCAATCACTAACAAATCCTCTCTCCGTAGTCCTCCTCGGCTTCGTCGTCTTTGGCGGTATTGTCTTCGAGGTCCTCTCTCGCATGTTCGGCTTCTAAGTTGACCCGGCCGATGTTCGTACTCAGTCACAAAAGCGAATGAGGGTGTGAATGAGACAAAGTCCGCAGAACAGGGGGGGGCTTCACGAGCAACGTGGTTTCTCGGTCCACGCTCAGTTCTTTCGAGCAGGCCTCCTCTGTGGACTTGTGCTCAAACACAATCGCAACACCGCAATAGTTGCAAGGGGAAGATGCGGTCAGATAAGACGCAGCTCAGTCTCCCCTTGGCATCAGAGACAGAAAAAGGGGGATGTTCATTTCCTGGAACACTTGGAGAGATTGAGCCCATACCCCAGACAGTACCTTGCTTCCAGTGGCGGGAACAAAGTCTGTACAAAAAAATGCCACACGTCGCTTTCTTGTCCTTCGTCGTGGGAAAGCAAGAACACCTGGTTAACGGCGTACTGTATTTGAAGTTTCCCGTTTATTTCATTTTCTCTTCCTTTCAGAGGCAGCTCGTTGATAGCAATCTCCTCGATGAAAAGCAATTCACTTTTTATTTTACATGAAAAGACTTTTTGGGTTCCCTATGTGGTCCTGACCATACGGTCTCATCAACATGAACGCCAGAACTACCAACAGAGCCATGTGAATACAGCTTCGGCAACTTGATGTGTTCACACCAGCTTCCTCATTTTGAGAAATCCCACAGCTTAAGCACCAAGACCGCGACGCTGGCCGCCAGCATCGTACTTCATGTGCACACCAGCCTGGAACTGCTGCTCGAGTTCCTGGGTGATCTTATTGATATCACGCTTGCCCTTGGCTCCGGAGGCCTGAGGAGCCGCAGCTGCAGCGCCCTTCTTTCCACCACCCAAGAGACGCATGAACTTCTGCTGACGGTCTGCGCCTCCTCCCAGGTGTCCGACGTCCCACTGCTCGGCTGCAGCAGCAGCGTTGTCTGCAGCAGGTGCCTTGCTCTCCTCCTTGTCCTCCTTCTTCTGCTTCTTCTTATCTTTCTTGGCCTTCTTGCTGGGGGTCTCCTCGGCAATGGCAACACCACCATCAGAGTCGTCCTCATCCTCCTCTCTTGAGCGCTTGCGCTTCTTGTCAGACTTCTTGGACTCCTTCACCTCTTCCTCGATCTCCTCTGCGGCCTTGGACTTCTTGCTCTTCTTCTTGTCCTTCTTCTCCTTCTTAGCGTGGGTTGGCTCCTCGGGTTCTGCAACCTCTTCGGCCTTCTCCTCAACCTCCTCCTCGACCTTCTTGCTCTTCTTTGACTTCTTCGACTTCTTAGGCTTCTCCTCCTCTTCGTCAACCTCCATCTCCTGCTCCTGGGTGATGGCTCTCGCCTCGCTTTCGGCGCGGAGTTGTGCGCTGGGGTTTGGTGACTCGGGGTCCATGTCGACATCCTCGTCTTGTTCAACAGCTGCGCCGCCCTTGGTTTCTTCCGCCTCTGAGTCGGAGTCGGAATCGGAATCGGAATCAGAGGAGGACGACGACGACGATGATGATGATGATGATGATGATGATGAGTCCGAGGAGGTATCGGCTTCTGAATCGTTCTCGTCGTCGTAGATCTTGAGATCCTCGTTGTCCTTCTTCGCAGCCAGGGCCTGCTTCTCCTCTTCCTCGGCAGCGTTCTTCTACGAAACCGCAGAGTCAGTAATCTGATTCATGTGGATTGGGTAATCCACCCGCCGCAATCCTATCTCGTGGACTTACCGCTCTCTGTTCAGCCATGACCGCGTGTCTTACGCGCGCCGCCGCGGCCTCGGCCATTAGCTTCTTAGCCTGAGCCTCGAGCTTATCAGCCCGTCTCAGCATGCGATTAAACCGCTTCTCGTCCTTGTTCTCCTTGCGCGCCGCCTTCTTGGCCTTGTCGGCGGCCTGGCGAACTGGATCCTGCCATTTTGCGGCACGCTGGACGTTGGCTTTGCGCTCTTTCTTGGCCGCAGCCTTGAGCTGCTTCTTTTCCTTGTTGGCGGCCGCACGTCTCTCGCGCTGGTTGCGCTTGCGCTCGATTTTCTTCTCTGTGAGGATTCGAAGCGGTTAGTCATGTCGGGTGCAGGCAATGTTGGCGGGCGCCGGCGCGCAAAGCGGCCTGGGTTCCATGATGGTATTCTTACCCTTGCCCTCAGCCTGAGCCTTCAGATCCTCGGCGCTCCGGATCACGGGTTCTTTGATTGGCGCCATGTCGTCCCGATCTCGTTGCGATTCGCAGTCTTCGGGGGTTTCGGGTGGTGTTGCAACGGCCTAGCCGATTGTTCTTCCGGCGTTTGGCAGAAGTGGCTGGGTCTTTTTTTTTTCTTTTTTCTGCCGGGCTGCGATCGACTGGTGGAGATGCAATGATCAAAAAAATTCTGGGCGGCATCCCTTTCTGCCAGGCGGTAAGAGACAGCCTTGATGCTAGATCCCTGCAAGGTGGGGTTCACGATTTTGTTCGATGGACCAGTCCGGGAGGTACGTACTGATCTTTGGTCCCTGGAAGCTTTGACCTGCCTTAACCGGAGGGACGGGACAGAAAGTCAGGAACTAGACTACGGCCCCTCTTTTCCCGTACCGCCGAGCACTGCCCGATTTACCGGCAGTATGGTGCTCCAAGACTGTGGAGAGCATTTCTGGTTGTTCTGGAGCTGTATACCTTTACTTGCCTCAGTCTATGGCCACCTCATGTTACTATCGTGAATTTAGCCTTTGCAACAGTACCTTGTTCTTGTGAAATGTCGTGTTCCTGGCATTAGTCACCTCTCTACCTACCTAGTACACTACCGCTGCCAGTCTCACACGCGCAGCCTGCCTCGACGCCTCCTACGAAGCTTTAGGCATACACACCATCAGCCAAGGCTGCCTATCGCGAAACACTACAACTAAGTATGCGTAACTTACGCCAAGACCTGTTGTCACGCGCTCCGACTTACACGAGATTCAAAGGGTTGTTCAGCCCCGGCTTTAGATAGAAACTGCCGTGTCTCGGCGGTACTCTGGAGGATCTCCATGCATGCTGTACATCATTAGAGACATTTTTTTGCACCAGTGTAAACTGTCGGATTCAGACGATGACATATCTAGTGGCGGTAGACATTGCGTCCCGGCTTCGCAACAAAAATAGGGGAACAGGAGACGCCTTGCTTGAACTGATTTCCCACCCACAAAATCCGACTTTTTTTTTTTGGAGATAATTAGATACCAATCATTTCAATTTTATATGTTCAACTACGGCATTCAAGAAAGTTTCAGGTAAACCAAGCTCACTACTCACTACCGCTGCGCCCTATAGCCCGGTCAACGTTTTCCATCTTCCTTGCTTCTATGGACTCCAGAGCAGACTTTCCCTCACTTGGAACAGCCAACTGCGTGTGAGCGGCACATGCAGCGGCGACGATTACGCCCTCAAGTTTGCCCCAGAGCAAGCCAGATCTAACACGGCTTTTTTTTTTTTGGCTTTTTTTTTCCTTTTCAGGCAGAATAGTTGAAAGTTGTGAGAGGTATTGCCATTGAATACATAAAAAAGGCGAGAGTGATATCTAATACAGGACCCGTCTTGGTGAATCTTTACTGTCATATCTTTCGTCTACCATTAGATCCCAGACCCCGTTGAACTCCATGCTAAGAAAGC